TCCGGTTGCTGTGAGAGCAACCTCCTCCTTCCCACCGCCCTGGCAGCCCGCAGGGAGTGGGGGGCTTTTTCTGGAGGACACACGACCACGGGGAGCAGAATCAGAGCAGTCCGCCTCAGCTGCCTCCTGTCCAGCTTCTCTTTATCTCGCAGGAGTTCTTCCCAGGCTGGGGTTTGAGCAGATGGCCCTGGAGGTCCAAGAAGCCGACGGTGACCTCATGCAGAGAGGCGGCATGCTGGAACCACAGGTGACGCTCCCTGAGCTTTCTAACAGACACCCCAAATTGCAGGGCAGCCTCGGGCCAAGGCAGCCCGGGGTCAGGGGGGCTTTAGGGCAAACACCCAATGTGGTGCTCCCTGGGGAGCAGCCAGGGCTGGGACAAGCTGCCCAGAGCTGCCAAGGGCTACGGCACTCAAAGGAGGGTGGTCCAAGCCCGCGTTCCTGTGTCTGGTTAATTCATTAACCTCGAGGCAGCCCAGGAAGCCTCCGCAGAGCAGGAGCTTGCCAGGCAGTGCTGCGTCTTGCTCGGTGGAGCCCCCGGTACCTCTGTTTGGGCAGATGGCATGGCAACCTTCACTGAAGTTGGGGCTACACTTCAAAATAAATGTGTGCATAAAGGCCTTGAGTCCTGGTGGAAGAGGCAGTGATGCCCACCCAGAGCCCACAGGGCTCAGCGGTGATTTCCAACAGACCGAGCCCGGAGTTGAGCGTGACAGACCTCTCTGCTGTTGGCAGCGGCAGGGTTCAGCGGGCGGGGGGTGTTTCCGCCAGCCACTCTCGGCTCTCTCCCACACAGTTCTTTATTGCTGGCGTGGTGGTCCAGCACCAATCCTTTTCCTCTTCTTCCTCCTCCTCTCTCCCACAGGCATCGTCCACAGAACTGCAAGCTGCGGGCCGAGAAGAACGCTCCCCACGCCGCTGCGTCCGTCTCCTGGAGTCCTGCCTCGGGCATCAGGTCCCCTGCTGCGACCCCTGCGCCACCTGCTACTGCCGCTTCTTCAACGCTTTTTGCTACTGCAGGAAAATCAGCACCAATTTCCCCTGTGGCAAGAACTAGTGCCCGTGCCACGGGGCTGCCCGCTCCTTCCCCGCGCGTGCCGCCTCCTCCTCTGCAGCTCTAATAAAGCAGTCGTTAGCAAAAGCCATCGCCGAGTGGGAATGGTTCAATGTGTCCACCTGGGATCTCAGGGGAGAGGTGTAGCAGCAATGTGCCGGTACCTGCACGCAGGTGGGCACCACGTCCACGCAGCCAAGAGTCCAGGGCACCTTCATGTCAAACAAAATGACATTTTTATTTTCCAGGGCAGCTCCTGCAGAGCCCTTCCTGGTAGATGAGTGGCTTCTCAGCAGGAGGGGTGCCCCAGGAGATGGGAGCTTTACTTGTG